TCCTCCTGGAGGGGACTTAGCCATCAGGGTAGAAGCAGCTGCCTCGTCCTCCTCAGCCACCCTCCCGAGAACCAGGGAGCCTCATTATTTATTGCTAACCACGCACCATATCACTTTAGGGGGATCTGAATACAGAATCATACATCACAGAAAGGGACAATACAATTCATCCTTGAACAAGTTTGATCACCCTGATGTCTCATACAATAAAACAGACAATTACTATCCTGGGAAGCATGCAAGCCCCCTGATAGCAGATAACAACCTACATCATAGAGAGGGGTTGTAACATAGGCAATACAAGCAATAGGAGGGGGATGACCTAGGGGTGAACGCGCAATAGTAAGAGGAGGGAATAGGGGGGCATGTGTGGCAAGATGGTAGCCTAAGCTTAGTCATCTCAGAGTGGTCCTGGGTTTGCCTATGGGGACTGCTTCAAGGGAACAATAACAGAAAGGAATGTGCCCTATTTGTTGTGGGATAAACAGTGGTGTCTGCTTGATCTAGACAGCTGATACCTCTCAGTGAGAATGACTCCCAATCCACTCTTGATGGCTGATGTTAAGGAGAATAACCTCTGACCTACTTTCGCTGACCGACTAGTGTACAGTCATTCTCAAGACATATTTTTGGGGGAGACAGCTTGAGAGAAATCCTTCTGTTCCCCACAGCCGTGCATTTCCCATAATGGGAGGCATGCTGAAATCAAGGAAAGAAGAAGAAAAAAAGGAGTAGGGATTTTTGGCAAAGGAGTCCTGGTGGCATAGTGGGTTATGAGTTGGGCTGCTAACTGCAAGGCCAGCAGTTCAAGCTCACCAGTTGCTCTGTGGGAGAAAGAGGAGGCTGACTGCTCCTGTGACGATTTATAGTCTTAAACCTATGCAGGGTTGTTAGGGATCGAATGGACTCAGTGGTAGTGGGTTTCAGGGATTTGGCAACTATTATATGGGACACATATATTCCAATCTACTAGGTGGTAGGATTCATGGGGTAAGGTCTGTCTCCCTCCCCCCCCTCCCCTAAATCATACAGGTCCTCATCAGGAAACTGCACATAGTACAAGTGGGTAAGCAGCTTCCCGAGAAACCCAGGAGTCTGAAAATGGTGGTGTTGTTTTTCTCATGGAAGCCTTTGCTGTGCTCCTTGACCACAGTTATCACTTTTCTGGGTGGGTGGGCAGCTCCTCCCTGAATAGAAGAGCCCTTTGCAGGGTTGGAGTGGGGAGATCTCGTCTAAATCACCCCACGTCCCTTGTTGTCTGTGGCTCCCAGGGCTGTTTGTAGCTGATAGAGGATGAAAGGGAAGCTGAACATGGGCATGATTCTCCCAGCGAAGCCTCCCTGGCCTCAGTGTTAGATTAGGTCACCAACTGCCATTGTGTTGATTCTGACTCACAGCGACCCTACAGGATAGAGTAGAACTGCCCATGTGGGTTTCCAAGACTCCTATGGTGCAGCTGGTGGTTTTGAACTACTGATTTTGCGGTTAACAGCCCAACTTGTAACCACCATGCCACCAGGTCGCCCTTTAGATTTAATCAGGCCCCTGATTTTACCCTTTCACAGTTCCTTCCATTTGTGCTTCTTGACACGTGTTGCAGTTTTACGTTTTATAGTTGTGATATTTTATTTTATTTTTTAGTTGTGATATTTGATTGATAACTTGTTTTTCCCACAGGATGGAAAACTCCAGCTTTTAGAACCAGGCCTCGAGTCGGAACTCAGAGAACACTTGGAGGTGTGCCGTAGATGTCCCTGGGAGGCGCACCCCGTCACATACTTGATTACGAGCTTGCAGGGGTTTGAACCCGCCCAGCGACACCTCCGAAGATGCAGACCAATCAAATCAAAACAAAAAACCCAACCCACCAAACTCCTTGCCATGAGTCAAGTGTGACACATAGAGCCCCTGTAGGGCAGAATCGAACAGCCCCTGTAGGTCTCCTAGGGTATAAATCTTTATGGGTTCAGAAAACTTCCTCTCGCCGCCCCTACCCCACCCCAGAAGGGGCTAGTGGGTTGGAACTGCTGACCTTGAAGTTAACAGCCCAATGCACTACCCACAAGCCACAAGCCCCATCAGAGGATTTACTCTGCCCCCATGGGGTTGCCACTCATCTCGCTCTCTCGCCTGCAACCAAGAGGAGAGTAATGACAGAGAACAGATCAATAGTTGCCTTTGATGGGGGATGGGAACAGGCACTGACTGGAAGTAGGCAGGAGGGAACTTTCTGGGGTGTTGGCAATGTGCTAAAGCTGGCCTGTGGTGTTGGCTGTGCAGTTCTAGACTTAAAATCACCAACTGCACACTTAGAGAATGTATTTTGTGAAATCTAAATGCTACCTCAAAAAGTCGGTTCAAAAAGCCAAATAATTGTGGGATGAATACACTACCTGCCTCCCTCCACTGGACAGTAAACTCCGTGAGAGAGCTCCCCAGACAGGAAGCGTGATCGCCACCAGGTAGGCACTGGAGGAAACGTGCTCGCTGGTTAGGGCATCAATGAATGACCGTGGAGGCCGGGAGGTGACTTCCTGGAGATCCCCGCCAGACCCCTTCCGGGCCACAACCCCGCCCTTGCCTCGCGCGTCACCGAGAAGCGAGCTCCGCGATTGGTCATAGAGGAGCCGCGTAGCCAGGGGCGGGGCTTCTGGGGGCGGGGTTAGGGCGGGATC